GACTTTTGTGTGTTGATTTTATAACCTGCTACCTTGCTAAACTGGTGGATGGTTTTGATTAGTTCCTCTGTGGAGCTTTTAGGGTTTTCCATATCATCTGCATGTTCTCCAATTTTTATTAGTAATAATCTTACATATTTGTGAGGATAGCATTGATTTTTTAAAATTTATTTTCTTAACATTCATAAACTTTTTCTGTTTCGGAGTCAGAGTCTGCTTTTGCAAGAGTGTTACACATAAGAGGGTCATTACGAGAGTGTTATGTTAGTGATATTTTTCTGAAAGTAGTGTCGTGGTTGAACTGAATTAGTACTGGAAGAGACTAAAAGCAGGGAGACTATTTAGGCTGTGAGGCCCGTATTGCAGGTCACAACTACTGAGGCATGTGCCTGTTTGCCTTGAAATGAACCAAATTTGAGAGAGATTGGGAAGATAGAATTGATAGGACTTTTCAGTAGATGAAAGAGACAAAATAACTAGATTGGATGCATCATTAACTAATATGGAACTGAAAGGTAGAATAGTCTTCAGGGAGAACAATGATTTAGTAAATAGAATTCTTCAGCATTTAAAATGATTAAGTTTGCAGTGATGGTGGAGCATCCTCTATGCCCCTCCATTTCGCCCATTGTTGAGGGTGCTTTTGTTGTATAATCACCCTGCTTTTCCTTTAAAATTAAAATGTCTTACAAAAGCAAAATAATAGCCAATGACTTGATTCTGTGTATTTTAAGGTACACATTTCCCTGCACTTAACTAGGAGAAAAGAGAAAATCAAGTGTTTAAAGAGATCATTAAAAGCCAAACTGATCTTGGCATGCTGTCTTGGTCTCATACTCCCATGGCCATTCATCAGGAGTGTCTGCTGAAGGAGATACACTCCACCTCCTGTAGGGATGTGGTAATTATCTCCTATCAAGTAGAACTTCATTCAGTGAACTATAAACAGCTGGTGGTGCAGAACTATCATCCTCATTTAAAGTGGAAACGCAATGGTTTCTGTGTTTCTTCCACTTCCACATACTCATTAAATTTTCTCCCCACAAAATTATATTTAAACTATGATTTGGTCATGGTTTGACTTCCTATATTGTAACAAGTTACCTGCCTCCTGATTTCATTTTATTTTTCCTTTTGATTTTTTTAAGTGGACAAGTGCTTTCACCTCTAGCACAGATTTGATCCTCTCTATGCTGATTTCTGTGGCTCTTTACTAGAAAATTGCACTTGTAAATCATACTCATGCTAAACTAGTTGTTTTAATATTTTTAACTATTGGAACTTCCGTTTCAAATGTTACCTAATAAACTGTTGTTTTCATATTTTTCCATTGGAAAAGAAAAGGGGATTTCTAATTTTCAAGAAGATGGAGAAAAGCTGAGGAAAAAACATTTCAAAAAATACTTTATTTAATGTTTCATGGCCTTTTTTTTCATCTAGTCTAAAAGTTATTTGAAGTTCGAACTATATTTTTAACATACTATTTTTGTTAGCAATGAAATATGCCAATCACTGACTATCATCTCCGTTAGAGGTAAATAAAATTACTTTCACCTATTCCAATAACATCAAAAACTTAATAAACATGTTTGTAAGGCATTGTTTCTCTGTCTGGAATTTTTATTCTCAGTATATTGTCAGGCAACCAGCTACTAAAAAAAAAAAAAGAAAGATTGTCAGATTGTCACTTATTTAAATAAAGAGCTTAATCAGAAGAATTGAGCTATTTTATATAGATTTTTAAAAAGTGACTACATTTTTCCCATTAAAATTTTCTTGGTGTTCCCATACTGTTTTATTAAATGAAATATTATTATAAAAAGATAATCTAATCAACTTAGATTCTGAAAGTCTTCAATAGGGTGTAAGAAATGAGTAGTATACTTGGAAATAGAGCTAGAGCTAAAAAATAGGTATGAAGAAAATAATCATTGATCTTTGATAGTCTTCATTAAGAGAAAAGTTCCATAGTTGTCTTTTTTTCCCCTCACGCAGTCTTATTTGCAGAGCATATCTTTTATTATCTAAAAATTTTAAAATATATTCATTATGTCATCCTTCATTTTTATACAATGTACGAAACTTATTTTTTCTTTAGAACTGAATGCCCTCTAAGATGATATAAAAGACTAAACTAACTAAAATGCAACAATCTAATTGAAGACAAGCGTAGGTGTGTCAGAGACAAGTAGAATAGACCAAGTAATATATCTGAAAAAGTATTCATCCATAAAGTGAACATGTAATATTAGGTTGTTTTAAAAGCCTTTTTGTGTTACTGTTTATGCTTGTGCTATATGTCATAATAATTGTGATGTTTTATTTATATTCCTCTAGTTTTTGATAATTGTATTCTGACTCACCTTCAAAACTACATTGTTGATATTTTCTTCCAGGGTTCACCTAAAGT